AGATTTGCCTTGCATTTTTAGTTGCTTATTTGAAAAATATGAACAAGAAGGTTTAAAAAAATGTGAAACTAAAGAATCTCAAACATGGTGACATGCCAGCGGTTCAAAAGCAGCTAATCGTCTTGCCCTCTTTTATGATTTCTTTCCTGAATTATCTTCTCTTAAAAATTCTCTAACATCATATTCTATTTGTGAGAGTCACTACAATCAAATAATTACTACTGATCAACTTTATAATTCTCTTCTAGAACAAGATAAAGAATATGACAATAGTATGAATGTTGATGAAATTCAAATAAATTCAGGTTTTAATATTTAATTATTTTTTAAAGATATTTTATATTATATCACTAAATTTTTTGAGTTAATAAAAATATAGATATTAACATGCAAAGTTATGAGATTCTTAAAATTTGTTGAATAAATATAAAAAAGAATATGAACAGAATATGTTATACACTTCAAACCTTACTATCCAGATCAAAAAACTTCAACAGGAATTAAATGAATTGTCCTATAAATATCAAATGTTAGAAGAGAGTAATAAAATTCTTATTGATAAATTGAACAAAAAATTTGATACCCATGAAAAAAGGGTTGAGATTGCTTTAGCAGAGCGTGAAAATTTTTTTAATGATGTGGATTCATTATTTAAAATACTGATAGATTTTCATTAGAAAATTTATTAAATTACAATCCTGAGTATTGGTTAAGCAAACAAAATGAAATCATTGTCAAATTTATTGAAACTTTAACACAAAATGAATATTATGATGATGACTCAAATCAAACAAAAGCTTTTAAAAGAGCAATTGCAGTTGATGCAATATATGGCTCATGATATAATAAATATGTATCTGAAATTAGCTTGCTTGCATCTTCCATAAAATATTCTTTAGCACATTCAAAAAAAATCATTAACATAGATAATTATATCACTAGTGGAGGGGGTTATTCTCGATTCCTAAAGTGGTTGGATGAGTTATCAAAAGATCATGAGCCTCTACCTGAAGGACTTCTATTTCTTGCTTTTGACAATGAGCAAAAAGGACAAAAAAATTATCTTGACCGTGGATTTAATACTGTAATATACCATATAGTTACTAGTTTTGTAGCATTTAATATGGATTCAAAAAATATGTCACAACATGAATATGATCCTTGGTTGCATAAATCTCTCTCACAATTACACTACAAAGAACTTTTTGATCTTACACCTCAAATGCAACAGGAATTTGACAATCAACTTCATCTTTATCTTAATGAGATTATTAATAAGTTAAATGAAGAAAAATCACAACTGACCAACAATATTGATAACCTTATAGAAAATACCTCAAATATCAGTAGTAGTAAATATTGTCTAAACTGTAATGAGAAAAATATTGAAAACAGAAAAAAAAATTGTCCAAAATGTTATTCACCTTTGCCAACTTTAACTGAATTACAAAAAAATTTCAAATCTATAGTTGAAGAAAAAAATTTATCAGACAAATCAATGAAAGAAATTATCTTTAAACCATATAATCCTGAAAATGAATCTAAAATTGCTTCCTTACCACGAATAAGTTATACACAAAATTTGATTCCTGATCAAGATGTTCAGACCCCTGATATTTATGTTCCTGATCCATTAAATATTAATCCTAATTCTATAGTAAATGTTGAGAAGATTCTTAAACATATAGAAAAAATATCAGGAATTAAGGATGGAGTGCGTAAATGGATATCTGTAACATGTGATGGAATTCCTTATCATCATGCATGTAAAATTAAGGAGAAATTTCCTTGGTTGGTTCTTATACCTGGCCAACTACATGAAGAAATGAATATGCTTCATGCATATGTTGAATTAAATTGGTATTTATATTTATCATTACAAAAATTTTTTAATAAGTTCACATATAACTAATTTTAAATATACTTACTATTTAATTAGGGAAATTGATATTAAACAATTTGCAATAGGCCAAGGATATAGATCTGATAAGCAACTATCTTTTTTTAAAAAATGTGGCGACCATCATAAAGCATGGGATTCCATATGTAATATATATCGTGAAGCAATGGCTCTAGAACTTGTATGGCCATATGTAAAAACCCATTCAAATTTATCAGTTCATAATTACTT